CGCTCTACCACTTGAGCTACAGCGCCACTTCCGGTTTTCTGGTAGTTTATTGGAGATAGGAGTCTCACGGTCTCTCCTGCCCGGGCTGGCTTTGAGCTGCAATCCTCAGATCTCAACCAACTGAGTAGCTAGGATTACAGGCGTGAGCCACCAGCACCCAGCTGGCCTATCACTTTTATAACAAAATATAATCTTTAAATGAGAACATAAATTTTAATAATAAAATGTTTTACAGAAGCTATAAACTATAATTTTTCTCTTCTTATCTTTATTTTCCAAAATTTATCAAAGAGGCCAGCATGACGACGATACACGGCTGGAATCATAGCACTTGAAAGGCAGAGGCAGGAGAATGGTGAGTTCAAGTCTGGCCTGGATTACACAAGGGGCCCTGCCTTAAAAAACCAAGGGCTAGAGATATAACTCAGTAATACAACGTTTGTCTTGCATGAGTAAGGCTGTGTGTTTAATCCTCCAGCACAAAAAGAAAAAGAAAAAAATATTTAAAAGTTATCAAAGTAAACAACAAAAAAGTAGAACCTGTTAATAAAATAAAATAAAAATGGTCTGGAACCAACAGAGCCAAATCATGTGAACAATGGAGAACACATAGTTATTACAGGTATAGTTCTTACATGCTACCTTTCAATTAACTATGCTTTAAGCTGAATGAACTTACGTTCTCTATATTCAATTTCTGCCTCCTTACGGAGTTTTTTCTCTCTGGCAAGAGCTTCAGGGCTTCCCCAAACTTCCAAAGATCTGTGCAAACACACATGACCACCACCAATAAACATTTTGAATGACTTTTATAATTATATTTTAATGTAAATTAGCTATATGAGAATCTAAAAACAAAGCATAGGTCTTTACAGAAAAGTATAAGGCACTTAAGGAACTTTTCTATATTAAATCTAAATAGCAAGAATAAATTGAGGAAGCTGCAATGCTTGATAAGAAATGTACTCATTATCTTGCCCATGTAATTGTAACCCCTCTGTACAGTATGTTCACAAAAAATAAAAATTAAAATTAAAAAAAAGAATAAATTGAACAGAAAACTTTCTTATAAATTATGACTTTACAGTTAGTTAACTAGTAACTACTATTACTGATAAATAGGTTTACAAATATTAAATTCCTTCTTTTTTATTTTTTTTATTTTTATTTATTTTTTTGGGTCTGGTCGTGGAGCCTGAACTCTGGCTGTCCCTGAGCTCTTCAGCTCAAGGCTAGCGCTCTACCACTTGAGCCACAGTGCCACTTCCGGCTTTTTTCTCTTTGCTTATGTGGTGCTGAGGAATCGAACCCAGGGCCTCAGGCACGCAAGGCAAGCGCTCTACCACTGAGCCACCTTCCCAGCCCTCCTTCTTTTTTAAAATGTCATTTTATACTGAATCTGTAAAAATAAAGTGTTTTTAAGAATCCTAGATTTGGTTTACAACTTAATTCTTAAAAACAACAATAACAACAACCCCAAAACTATGTTCTTACTTTGCTTCCACATCTGATCTCAAATATACAGTAAAGGACTCAGTATCTTCATGGGGACTTCGTCGTCTGATTTTCCGAAGTTGATCTAGATCACTAGAGAAAGAAACATGTTGAATTTATTCAAATCATAGGTTAATAATATTATAAATCATTCAATTTATAAATTAAAAAGATAACTAAGTGTAGAAAATACAACTACATTGATCCTCATCCTAAAATAATTTATCTGAATAACTCTTAAAAGCCAGCTTAAAGATGCCACTTTTGAGTACAAAATTGGGAAAAAAGGAAATAAGTTCTGATACCGTAATAGCACTTAAAAATTCAATTCCATCAATTTTGCTTATAGTTTATCTGCTATAAAACACTCTACATAAAAGAGAATATATGTTTTATATGAATGTAAGTTTTATATTGTCATAATCAGTTGCTTAGTTATGAAAGTTGTAAACTTCATTTCAGAAATATTTATGTCTTTATATTACAACATGGTAATGTGTTTTCCCCCCTCTCACTAGGGAGGGAGGAAAAAGAATAGGTAATGCAGTTTTTTTAATCCATAAAGGAGGGAGAAATATTTAGATCTGGGACAAGTACACTTTCAACAAATAATCTATATTGGAAAATTAAAATACCAAAAAGTAGATAAAACTAAACAGAAACTACAGTTGGGAGTTTGAACATAAATATAATTCCCTATATACAGAGGTTTTAAAGAATGTAACTTCATCTCTTCAAGAAACTGAGAGGGGCTGGGAAGGTGGCTCAGTGGTAGAGCGCTTGTCTTGCATGCTTGAGGCCCTGGGTTCGATTCCTCAGCACCACATAAGCAGAAAAAAAA